CCAGTGAGGTTTGACTCACTATCTGGAAGCTGTCAGAAGTGGGAGCATGAAAAGGTCATGACGGATGGCTATGGGTAAGCGGGTAGGGGGAGAGCTGGTTAAAGGAGACAGTTGGCCTCACTTATTTCTGAGGGAAGGGGCTGACCCTGTCCGCTTTGGGCCAGCCCTCATGCTCTCTTCCTCACCTACCACAGCTGGTCAGGTGAAGCCCTGCCAGGCAGCGTTTTGTGAGAGTGGCCCCAGGGTGGCCATAATGTAGCCACGGGAGCCCTTCCCAGCAGCCCAGCCACGTGGGTGCTTGAGAACTGCTAGATGGAAGTAGGTCTTTATGTAGGATTTGCCTTCATGACTGTCAGTTACCGGATTCAGCATACTGCCTTCCCCACACCATGAAAGTTGGGAAAGGGTACTGAATTCTGAGTAGAAACCAAGAAAATGTCAGCTCCTAAGATGATGTTTGTTTTTATTTCGGGTGAATTTTTTGTTTTGTAAAAACGCAGAAAAGGAAAGGACCTAATCCTACTAGCCAGAATTGACACTGTTCCCGTTGGGAACATATCCTTTTGATCTCTTTTCTATAAATATTTTTCCTGCTCTTTTCACTTAGCTTCAGAAGAATTTTTCCAAGTCCAAGCTTTTCTCATACAGAATTTTTCGTGGTTGTGTTGTAGTCCATCGTAGTTGGATTAACTGTTCCTTTGTTGGCCATTTAAGTTGGAGAAATGGAAACTTCACAAAAGCCAACTTCCCTTGTTTTCATAGACATGTGTTTATAATTTGAAATACTTACACATACTGTGTAAGTGACACTTTAAGGAATGCCTCTGCCTTTCCTTCGGTGACTTTACACAAAAACTTTAGCCAAGGAAATTAAAACCACGCTCATTGGTCATAAAGAAGAATATTGCTAGGATTTCATGCTCCAGTTTGTCATGTCTGAACAAAAATAGGTGTGCATTTATTGGCACATTTGAATGTTTATTTTTTCCTTTGTAAAAATTTAGAAAGGACACTGGGGGAGCTCAGTCAGTTAAGAGTCCGACTCTTGATTTCAGCTCAGGTCATGATCTCATAGTTCATGGGTTCAAGCCCCACATTGGACCCTGTCCTGATGGCATGGAGCCTGCTTGGGTTTCTCTCCCTCTCTCTCTCTCTCCTTCTCTTCCTGTCCATCCCCACTTTAAAAAAAAAAAAAACAAAAACAAAAAAACATTGAAAGAGGATACTAAAGACTAGCTGAGCAGAATTTCTCATTACATCTGGAACTCAACTGAATGCGTCCATGCCGAGCAGTGGGAAGTGCCATACTTAGGAACAAGATCTCTCTGGGCATGAAATGGCTTTTCCACTTAAAAGCTTCCCAACCTTGGACACGTACCTTCACCTCTCCTAGTGCATGTTATAGAAAATACCAAGCATGGTTTTTTGCAGAATAGCATAGTGGCTGAGAGGACAGATTTTGGGACCAAATTTTCTGACTTTCTCCAAATTCTAGCTTTGCCCCATTTTAGCTGTGTGATCTTGGGCAAGTTACTTAACCGCCCTGGGTTTCCATTTTCTCATCTATAAAATAGGGATAAATACAGTAACCAGTTTGATCCGGGCGTTGTGAGATTTGAATTCGTGCACACAGGATTTCTAACCATGCTAACATATATTTGGTGCCAGGTAATGTTCACCCCTCTTTGCCCCTGGCGTGGACTGTGGTGCCAGCCTCCTAACTGGTCTCCTCTCCACCAGGCTGCCTCCTCCTTCCAGCCAAGAAGGAGACCTTGGACCCCCAAGGCAGGGACAGAAGAGGTCTGTGTTTGCTTCCAGGCTAGATTCTGCAGACTGTCCTCAGCAGTGGGTTCTGGGTCTGCCCAGGAGAATGGGCTCCAAGGCTAACCGCCCCAGGGCCTGCCAGACTAGAAGCAGAGGGTTGTCACTTGTCCAGCAAGCACAGATCAGCTCCTGTGGGCTGTGTGCCCTGTGTTAAGAAGCTGAGACTCACACACATCTCAAGTACAGTGAGATTATTTAATGTACAAAAGGATTTTTCCCATCAGGAAAGATCCCCCTACAGGTTCCTTTAAATAGTGACTCCTCCAGGCAGGCGAGTGTTTTACAGATCATTAACTACTTGACTGAAAGCCTGCAGGGCAGAGAAACTTCAGACTAAAGTGTTGGGAGCTCCTGCCAATTACAGATCAATCCAAAATGAATATAAAGTATCTCTGGAACTAGAAGTCAGTGGGAAAATGTGATTTGATTCGGAAAAAATCTGATTTACAGGCAACTTTTTTGGAACACACCAGTTGTTTAAATGGTGTTCCACCTGCCTGCCCATCTTGAACCTAATGCATTCAGTCTCCCACATCTTCATCCCCAAACGCCAGAATTGGGGTTCCCCTCTGCGAACAGTGACTGCACAGTAACCCCCAGAAAGGGCGTCATTGGGAAAGTGTTTTTGTGGCCATGCAGAGAGTAGGCAATTGATGCAGAGATACAGCCCGAAATGGATGAACTATACAGTAACAATTTGCAGATAAAAATAATAGAAGTTAAAGTGTACTTTACATGATAAAAGAAAGATGAAAGAGGACGAGAGTCTGTTACATCTGAGATGGTTACAAAAGTCCTGCTTTGTGAAGTAGGCTCTGTTGAAAAGATTGATGCCATGGAGAGTGACCTTGGCTTGGAGCAGGAGCTGGTGATGTATGTATGAGCATCCCTCTGCTAAATGGACCCAGATTTGTAGCACTAATATACATGGGAGCCCAGAACCAAACTCAGTACGGCAATAAATCAACAGCCACTTTGGGTGTCATTTCTGGTTTATATTCCACTATTGTTCTATCACTTTAATTCATGTCACTATCATCTTTTCATCTGGAACAGTTTTATATAATTTTCCAGTGGAGTTACCTGACAAATCCTATCAAATTAACAAGGTACATTAACAATATTGACTGACTACGGCTTCAGGAGTCGCAGGGCCGTAGAACAAAATTTTAAAGCTGTGTCTCTCTGGTGATGACTCCCCCCCACCCCTTTCTGGGAAAGGAATGTGGGGCAGGGTTTATTCCACATATGAGATATGCACATTTATTTTGCTCTGCTCAGTTTTGACTGTTATAAATGTCAAAATAAGAAGAAGGAGGAGGAGGGACAAAAAAAAAAAAAAAACCAAAAAAAAAACAACGCACTTGCTACCCGCAGCCATGGCGTAAGTACTTTTCTTCTCTCAGGGAACTATAGAAATGTCCAGATCTTTAACAATTAATGGCCAAATTGGAGGGAAGAGTGTAACTGGGTAGTCGTAATCTATTTTAAGTGAAATGTAATGAAATTGGTCTCCTGATACATTCTCACCCTCCTGAAATCATCTAGACCTGAACGGCCGGAGTCCATTGGACTTATGACATTATGCCTGATTGAAATATGGTATTCCTGAAATATGTCTAATGACAAATTCCAGCGTTCAATTAATAAAAATATACCAGTTCATCTTTTCCAAAGACCACACAGTAATGACCAGGGTTAAGCAACTGTGCCGCATCGTCTCCTGTGAAGACCGCAGACGAGACCGGTGTTGTCTGTATGGTCTCCTGCCTTTGTCTGACCGCTCTTTGGGATTTCTTTAGCCAGAAAATAAAATAGAAATGGAGTGTGTGGCAGACCTCATCACTAGAATGGTTTTTTTAATATATATATATAGTTTTTGTTCGTTTGCTTAATTTTAAATTTGCTCACAGACTATGGTCATTGTGTTTTGGGGGGTTTTTTGTTTGTTTTTTAATTGAGCTGTTTCTTTTATCTGCTTTTCCTTTTGGCCTGCTAAGTTTTCTCAACGTCGTACTGAAAAATTTCTGAGGTGATACATGGAACAAAACGTGTTAATTCTGATTGTCTTTTTTGTTACAGTATGTACATTTGATGGCTTTAATTATCTCTTATATCTTTGCTTGATTTTGCTTTTTTTCCACTTTGCCCCTGACCTTTAAACCATGGCCTGAAATATTAGTTACTTTCAAGATTCTATCTGGGGCCCACTCTGGAAGGCATATTGAAGGTTTTTGTCTCACTTCATGAACAGATTCCTCAATTTTCAGCAAAAGAGGAAAAAGAGAGCATCTAGTCTAGATCGTGTGTGTCGGGCCGAGCATACGCTGTTCAGTGACCCTGGGAGAGCGATTGCTGTGTGTCGCCACAGTTATCCCAGGACACCTTTCATCCCAGGCATCACCTTTGTTCTCCCAACACCTTTGCTCCCAGTGACTGTACAGTATGTTATGTCTTTCACAGCTCTGAAAATGAAGCCCACAGTGCCAGTATTTAACCTGCTGCATTCCTGTTATAAAGTCTTTGTTGCATAAATCTCACACCCAGTGCTGTTTCTCCCTACGCTGGAGAAGCAGTGACCTCCGCAGACTGAAGCAAAGCTCCAAGACTTGAACTTGGAAGGTTTTATCTAAAGGACCTTTGATCCTCCTGTGACTTCTCTCAATCAATATAGCTTGGATAATTATTTAGTGTCAGAGAAGAGCAAAGATAGATTTTTCCTATTTTTAGTGTATTAAAAAAAAAAAAAGACCACTGATCAAAATGTTTTTCTTAACGAACTTTATGTTATGGTTTATTTCATTACCATACGGAGGTATAATGTAGGGTTAACTATGCAGGTGAACCCTGTGTTGTATCTGTGGTGCATGTAGGATGGCATGTTTTTTTAACCTTTCTATATGCTTCTTGGTGGTTTCTCCCCTCAACTCACCCACGCGGGAAACCAGGCTGTGCATCTTCTGTATGCCCTTTGGAGTCTCCTTATGGCTGTCTTAAGCCAGTGGCATTCCCCAAAGCCCTAAGGAAGAGCTCTTGTTCATCTAATTTAAAATATACAAAACAGGTCAAATGATTACACTGAAATCACTTACACCTTCCACTTTTTGTGGCTTCTTTTTTGTCCTTCCCCCTCCCCCCCCCCCCCCCCCCCCCCCCCCCCCCCGCCGGCCTTACAGGTATCTCTGGAGACAAAGTAGAGATAGACCCTGTTACGAATCAGAAAGCCAGCACTAAGTTTTGGATTAAGCAGAAACCCATCTCAATCGATTCTGACCTGCTCTGTGCCTGTGACCTTGCTGAAGAAAAAAGCCCCAGTGAGTAGTCCCTTTTATTTATGTCTCCTTTCTCTCTTCCCCCTCTTCCCCTCTGTGTGCTGGGTGCCGGGAGAATATATTGCCACCGTGTCCTTTTTTCCTTGGGTCTGTTTAATTCATTACCAGAAATTTCTTTTAATCAGACAGGATTGTATTATGGTGCCCAGAGCCTGACATGGGCCCCCATCCTGTTCCGTCTTGATGGCAGCAGAGAACCTCACAGCCCTGGCTCCTGACCTCCAGAGCCCCGCCCTGGGGACTAGGGGCCTGGGGGCAGGTTCCTGCTGAGAATTGGACTCCCCAGAGCCCTCATTTCACTTTGTGCTCCCTTCCTCTTCCCATTTGGGGGACTTGGGCAGTCGGACCTGGACCTGCCTTCCTTCCAGATCGAGGGAGGCTGGGAGATTTCCTGTGGCAGCCTAAGACTAGATTTAGATATCCATCAAGCCGGAAGTGTCAACAGCCTCCAGATTATTGGCAGCTGCATGACCTACCAGCTCGTAATTAAACTCCTGCCTGGTCCTGCAGAAGAGATCACTGCTGGGCTGGCACTCCTCTGCTTAAATTATCAAAGTAGATACAGTCTGGTTGTATAGTTTGGCATATTATATTTTTGCAGTTAAGTAATTGAGTGTAGCATTTAGATTAATCATTTTTAAGACTTCAGTCCCATCGAGAGGCAGAAAGGACACAGATCACGCTGAAATTCCTCCATGGAAGAAAAAAAGTTTAAACTAGACAAGAATTTGTTAGCTGCCTGGGAAAGGCTACAAGACAGTTATTGTCAGAGCCTGGTACGTATCGGCATCGCCCGTAGAGCCTGTTTAAAATGCAGTTATCCAAGGGCCCATCCCCAGCGGGTTCTGATTCAGTAACTTTGGAGAATGACATGATTTTTGTTAATCCCTTTACTCCAGTGCCTGCTGAATTGGGGAACAAGTGTTATAAGGAATGACGTACTCAAAAGGAACAATAAGAAATGTAAAGGCCAGCAAGTGTTTATCATATGGTTCAAGTTTTTGAGATAATACTGACTAAACTGGGACCTAAAAAGCAAAAAAAAAACCCGAGGGAGGCGTACAGACAGGGCACCTGCCACACTGCCTGCTTTATGGGTGGGGTTTTTTTGGTCAGATCCAGCTATGCTGGGCTACGCAATCTCCTCCTTTCAACCTGTGAGGCTCCAGCTGGGCAAGAAGGGAGAACCTAGTGGTACCGAGGGAAAGGAGGCAGGCCGGGCCCACCCACCCCCCCCTCCCCCCAGCTTCCTGCCATTCCTGTCATCCCAGTGAGGAGATCCTGCAAGATGGCTGCCAGAAGGGGCTGGTGAGAAAATTGCTTGCTGCTCTGGGGCCCTTGCCTCTGCCTTTAGATAAACATCTTCCTAATCCCTCTCACTGCAGCTTATCAGCCAATAAAGATGTCATTGTTCTAGCATCTTTCTTCCCAAGAACTCAGGATGCTTTGAAAAGTAACATTTTATAAATTCTCCGTGTCTCTGAGAAATGAAAGGCAATCACATGTTGCATAGAGGGATAAGCTGGAGTAGAAAGGTTAGGGAAAGAACTAGAAACGGGATTCAGATTTCCCTTAACACTCATACCAAGACACTCACTTGCCAAGGAGTGTGCTTCGGGCACCGAAAGGTGAAGGGTGTAGCACAGCCAGTGTGAGAGGGAAGGAAGAAAGGATGCACAGAGAGCACCTCCCGGTTGCCTCTGGCCATCAGTCAGTCAGGAAGTGATTAGCACACGTCTGTGACAGTGACCACAAGTTCCAGGCCTGGGGGATGCAGAGCAGACGTGGGGCCCACCTTTGCAATATTGACAATCCTGCAAGAGAGTCTTTTGTCGTGTTTGCAGACCTACTGGATGGTTCTGTGTAAAAACTGCACATGTGGGTCGTAAAGGTTTCCTTCTCTCTCACTCTGGTTCCCGAGGTCTAAAAATTGTGACACTTGCCTGAACAAAGGAGCGCACTGGCCCAGTCAAACACTTCCTATGTCCCTGTGCCCTGTCAGTGCTTTCCAAACCATGTTCCTCAGAGGTCTGGGGATGGGGGAGGGGGCAGGTTTGGGCATAAGGACTCCCCTTCAACCAGTAGAGCTCTACTATTTTCTCTTTGGGGATTCTGCATTTAAAGTCTGTCGGGGGTGGCTCAGTCGGTTAAGCATCTGACTCTTGATCTCAGCTCAGGTCTTGATCTCAGGGTTGTGAATTCAAGCTCCGTGTTGGGCTCTGCACTAGGTGTGAAGCCTACTTTAAAAAAAAAAAAAAAGTCAACCGATAAAAAGGATTTTGCTACTTAAAAAAAATTTTTTTGAAAGTTATAGGCTCACCAAGTAAAATCCAGATTCCTCAGCATAGCCCTTAAAGACATTGACCACTTGAGGTTCATGGCCCATAATTTCCCATCCTGAACTTGAGCTGCAGTCAACCGTGAACTGCTCGCACACGAACACACCTCGAATTCTGTGCTTCTACTGTTCCCATCACCTGGAATACGCCTCCACCCTGATTCTCCCTCTAACTGACAGGCACCTCTGCTTCCTCAGGCCTGGCTCATTCATCTTTCTAGGGTCAGGCTCTCTCCACGACTTTGTCTCCAGGAGCTTGCACACGCCTGTGGTACAGTAGCTCTCACGCTGTGCCATATGTATCGACTTCAAGTCTGTCCCTCTCTCCCACCCCCATCTCCTTGCTGAACTAATTGACCCAGGAACTGCTTTCTGTGTCCTCAGTCTGCAGCACAGTGCCCACAGAGTGGTCCTCAATGAATGTTTGCTATCTTCACATTGAACTTAATGTGGCCAGAATTTAGAAACCAAAAGTTACTCAGCATAATTTATGTTGTAAAGTGCCCAAACAAAGGTGTATTAACTGAATCAGCTTGATGCTGTGTTATTTTTTTTTTTTTTTATGATTTCCAGTATCTTCATCAAATTAATTCAGTGACTTAACCTAAAAAGTTCATCTTCAAGACCATCATCAGACCACAGAATTAATCTATGGGGCTGTTTCTTCCTCTTCTTTTTTTAAAGGATTAATGGTAACCCTTTTTATCTTTTGTGTCTGTTGAACCTTAGAAAAAAGTTATTTTAACAGCACTCAAGAAATGAAAGTCACTATATTTCCCAAGTTTAGCCTGTGATTTTTATCAGCATAGTGATATATGTTTGTAGCTGAGTTTACATCAAAAATTATTCTGGGGGCCTTCTTGAATGAATTATGGCAAAGAGAGAGAGTCTAGAAGTAGATAAGGTTTTTGATTTCTGCAATATATTTCCTTTTTCATGTTTTTATCTCTCGTAACACAAGCGTCCTGCCGAAGACTGGAACGTGTGACCAACTGGAATAATGTAGTTGTGAAAACAGCAGACGTGTTATTAAACAGCCTTCTTTACAAAAAGGCAGTAAGTGTTGGAAGGATAATGAAGTTGTCCTGGTCTGTCTTGAGACATGTTTGTCAGAATTCTGAGCAGAAAAGAAATGGTTTTTAAAACCTTCGAATATGGCCAGTTTGCAGTGTTTATTGAGAAAGCCTCTGTCAAACCATTAATTTGGTCGTTTGGTCGTCATAAGGAACGCAGCTCAAGTTTAACTGACACCATATCCAAAAAGTATGTGAATAGAGGACTTGGCAAAGGGACTGAGCAACGGAGTGCCCGCAGTGAGACCCGTAATTACACATACCGTGGGTCAGAAAGACCTGGACTCTGCGGCCGTGCTCCATAAATAGCAGTTCTACGGCTCTCTTTCCTTCTCCTAACTTCTCCGTCTTAGGCTGTGTTCTCAGAGGGAAGATTTATTGCTCTGTCCCTGTGAGTGTTTAAGGATCTGGAACTTAATGACTAAATAGATACATGCCTTAGAAGAAATTTGTACGTATAAATATAGACTCTCACCAGTTAGTTGAGAAAATCTGTGTATCAAGAGCCCAGAGAAATTGAGAATAAATTCTGCCTTTCCAGGTTGGGAGGGGGGAAGAAAGGCTGCACGCTGTCATTATTATTGCAATCAGTGACTTCTTAGTCTGGTTTTGCCACTCCTTAGGATACCTTCTGCTGTTTTGAAGGATGTCACAAACCTCTAAAAGATGAATTAATTTTAATTCATCGTAAGTGAACAGATATGTATATGGCACATAGGAGGGGAGAATGTCTCCGTATCAGAAACTACCATGGCTAAATTATCTCAGAGAAATAATTCTCCGTCCTTCTACAGGTCCAAACCTAGGCTTTAGATGCAGTGGGCTCTCTTTTTAAGTGTCAGCCTCAAACTCCATCGCTGAAACAAAAGCAAGGCACCTTTTTTTTTTTTTAAACTAGCGCCCTTCAGAGACTCTCAGGCTGGATTTAAATGAGGTACCAGCCTCCACCGTGCCAGGTCTGCGTTTATCATGAGAAGGTTGTGCAGGTTTCCAGGCTTCAAAGGAAGCAGCCTATCATTAAGAAATCAGATTTAAACCTTAATAAAGTAGCTGTCGTCTTTATAGCTGAAAAGAGCGCTGTATCTCAATTAAGTATAGATAATAGAAAATCTTAAGGAAGCAACATAATAGAGGTAACCTGATTATGTTCTCTTGCAATAGTATAATTTAAAGGAAATCTGATTCTGTTGATGCTGGTGGGGGATTGCTTATTTGGCTTTTTTTCTTGTTGTTTTTTGTTTTTGTTTTGTTTTGTTTGTCCAAAACAGTGTGTGGATACAGGATAGGAACTCTTTGTCATGAGTTAACCACAACTGTGAGAGACTGTCAAGCCCTCGTGAATAGAACCTGCTGGATGTTTGAGATGAGACTCAGTTAAGGTTATGAGTTAAATTAGCTGGGCTTATTGGTGACCTCCCGCTTAAATGAATCTTTCTTTTCATAAGTACTTGACAAGATCTGTAAAGTAGTGTATTTAATTTACTAATTAAATTAAAGCTACTGAATAATGATTTGTCCACATTGATTTAGCTTAAATAGAAAAGATCAGCATTGTTGTGATCTTCAGCCAC